TGGGGGGCCCCCTGGTGATCGTCTTTTTCTTTAATATATTGTATCTGTAGGGCCTCAAAGCCTATCGAAGCAACATAACACCACGCTGCAGCATCGCTGGTAGCAATAGAAAGACCTTGTTCTTCTCTGGTGTTTGTGTTCCTCTTGCTGCTGCTGCTGCTGCTGCTGCTGCTGCTGCTGTTGCTGCTGCTGTTGCTGCTGAAGGGTATTGTATCGGTGATGAAGTGAGGGTACACTTCACACCCAATGAGGGCCCTCAGGGTACTAGCAAGAGCGAGACGGCGTATATCTAGGGGCCCCTTGGGCCCCTCAGCAAGAACCCACTGCTGCTGCTGCTGCTGCTGCTGTTGCTGCTGCTGCTGCTCCTCTTTTTCTGCTGCTGCTGCTGCAGCCAGCAACGCACGAGCTGTGTCTGCTGCTCCGGGGGGGGGAGGCCTTATAGAGAGGAGACAGGCGGGGTAGTATCTACCATCAATATACACCTGAACAAGGGGAGAAAAAGACAAATCCTGCTGCTGCTCCTGCTGCTGCTGCTGCTGCTGCTGCTGCTGCTGCTGCTGCTGCTGACGCTTGCTGCTGCTGTATACGCTGCCGTTATCCATGTCGCTGAAATTTGGTTTTTTAATTCGTCGTTTTGGTGTTCTTCTTGCTGCATCTTCTATTTGCTGCTGCTGCTGCTGCAGCAGCAGCTGTTGCTGCTGCTGCTGCTGCTGCAGAACTTGTTGCTTTTGAAGGCTGAGAAGCTGCTGCTGCAGCAGCAGCAGCCTCAGTATACCCCGCTGCATGTCCAGCAGCAGCACAAGGTAGTCTGGGGCCCCGTCTGTCGATGGATAATAACTTAACGAGAATCTGTCTCCTGCTGCATGCGGCGGAGACAGTACTTCAAGCTGCAGCACAGCTGCCACGTGCTGCGCCTCGTCACCAACTGGTAAACCTGCAGCAGCAACAGCAGCAGCAGCAGCAGCAATAGAAAGGGCAGCAGCAGAAGCGGGGGAGGAAGAAGGGCAGGAACAGCAGCAGCAGCAGCAGCAGCAAAAGGAAGAACGCAGACAGCAGCAAACAGAAAAAAAGAATAGAAAGATTCATATATATATATATATA